TTCAGTGCCGTGCCAGCAGGGGATGGGGTTGGAGTGGTCAAGCAGTGTTGGGGAGGGCCTGAAAATGCTGAAGGAGCTTTCTGCTGCAGATTTCACTGTGTGCATTCACGTGCAGATTCCTAGTGAGAGGCACTGCAGGTTACCCAGAGAAAGTAGATGGATGTGGGTATATGTTGGTTTGGAGGGGTGAGGGGAGGTCAAGGGGCCACAGCTCACAGTTTCCCTGTTCTCCCAAGCAAGACACCCTGTCACTGCCTGGGCAAACTGAGCTTAGCTACAGCAGGGCAGGAGTAAAGCTGTGGGAGATGTCAGGCATTTTCACAGTGAACAAAGAAGGATGTGCCAACCTCCTTTATCAATCCAGCCCCAGTATTGTGTGACTCCTCCTGGGCATCACTCCCTTGTCAGCCCCTCTTCCATTCCTGCCAGGCCACAGAATGCCCGCCAGCTCCTGGAGTGGGCCCAGCTCGTTCCACTGACCAGCAGTTGCCAGGCTGCTGCTGAAGAGCTGTTGGCCTTCTCAGCACCTCCGAGATGATAATCCCAAGGGAGCTTTCGGAATGGCCTCTTGGTAAACCTGCTGACAGTAGGCATGTGCATAGGTTGGCATTATGCTGATACAGAAGGTAAAACTTCAGTTTCAGCCAAGTGTTAATGATGTTTTCTTAACTGCCTGTTCAATTCTTTGTGGATCTTACTTGCTAAATATTTGATACAGCTCTGAATTTTAAGAGATGTGCTGGTCTCTCAGTTCTCTGTGCATAACTGACTAGTTTGCAGCACACCAGCAGACCGGGCTGGCTGCACACTGTCCTGTCGAGGGAGAGTCTCACACCAAGTCCTGGGCCAGCCATCATGTATGCTGAGCTGTGGGATTTCAGACATCTCATTTTATTAAAAGCATTCTCTGTAATAGTCAGCTTACAACACTTTTTAATCCTTAAGTTTGATCTCTTCTAAATTTTATTAATGATCTCTGCACTCAGACTTTAATTCAGCATTTCAGGACTGGAAAATACACTTCTAAGAACAGTAAGAGTATATGTTAAATGTCTTCTCTAGCTTCCCTTCAAGAGTAAAACTGGGTTCTGTAGCTCTAGACACTTGGACATAATTTGTATATTCCAGGATAAGAAAAAAGTTTGAGAGAACCTTACTTGTTCTTTGTACAGGGAGTTCATCTTTTTAGAAAATAGACATCCGGTGTTTCTAATTAGGTAAATACTAGGAATTGCCCAGCTTTTTTCCCTTCCTGGCTAATCTCATCACAGCCTTCTCTGGGCTTTTCTGTAACTGCTTCCAAGGCAAACCCCAGAGGTAGTTGTGTGCAGCAGCCCTTGCACAGTTGCAGTCCTGTGTGCTCTGTTCACTCTCACCTCTGTGAAGGAATGCATTCTGCTTGGTCCAGCATAAATGTGTCTTCTGTTTACATCTCCATCTCTGCTAACACTGCAGCCTTCAGAAGCCTGTCTGCCCTTTCTGCTGAGCCTGTTCAGCTGAGCTCAGACTCAGGTTCATGGACCTCTGTGGTTTGGCTTCCCAGGCTTCAGAAATCCCTCAAAGCCAGTTCCCTCTCTGTAACCAACCCCCCAACCCAATCATTAGGCCGTGATTCCTGTTTGCAGAGATAAGCCTTTATTGGAGCTATTGGAAGCAATGGGACATGGTTCTGGTTTCTATACAGAGAAGTCTGTAGCACTGGGTTACAATCAGTGGCAGATGACCCGAGGTTACAGTGCAGATCTGTTGTGTACAGTCAGGAACAGTGGTGGCGTACAACCCACGGCACAGAAGCCAAATGAAGCCGAGTGGACGGTACAGCAGCACGGGAGGAAGCAGCTGAATGTACAGAGAGCATTCCCTTGACATTTGCAGGCTTTTTTGGCTAGTGAGTAGAGACAGCTCAATTTAAAATTCAGTGTGCAGTTATTTTTCTTCCCACTCAACTGCTTCCAAATTAAGAAGATTTGGATGTTCAGATCACATTTTTAATGCTATAAATAGCTACGGTTGTTGCCAAATTACTTTATTTGAAATTTCCTTATTTAGATCATAGTCAGGAATAGTTCAGTCATCATTGTTCTTTACTGATTACAAATTGGGAGAAAACTGAAGGATTTTCAAAGGGGTCTGTAATTAGACCACAAGGATCTCTTGTACTTCATTTGGAAGTTTAATTCTGGGTAACTTCTTTTGATAGAGATTTATTGGGAAGAAAGATTGAATTGTCTACCATATTACTCATTTGTGGAATTCATTCATAGTACTTAAGGTTTAGATAGTTTAAAGGTCATACTTCTTTGTATTCAATCCATATCCAATCTTAGTGTAAAAATAAACACTCCATCCTCTATGGATAAATAAATCCATCTGTTGGCTGCAGGTCAGACCTTTATTGGTGAAAGAGATTTAGAAAAATAGATCTTTTCTTTAACGTTTACTATGCTGACCCACAAAGGAAAAGTGAAATTCATTCAAGTCTAGAAACAGAAATACAGTACAAGTGATTTATAGAATTGCATTCCCTCTCTCTACAAACTTGCTGAGCATGAAACACTGCCCCAAAGCACTGCCTCTGTCTTTTCCTTGTCTTGGAGAAGGAATTGTCATCAGAGAAGTCACATCATACTGCACTGCCAGATTTCCTGTCAGAAGGGCTCTGCCTCCTGAGGAGTCTTTGCTTAGGAATTATTTAGATGGATGGATGATGGTGGTTTGGGTTATACAAAGGTGATGATATTTTAACCCAAATTAGCAGCAATTTTAATTTATTTGATTGATGGTGATTTTTGGTGGGTGAAAGCTCAACCATTAAAAAAAAAAAGTTTATGACTGGATTTGGAAAATGACAGCCTTTCCTCAAAATCTCCACTTCCAAGCCTGCTTCCCATCGATGTCCTCCTCAGCAAGGGGCTGGTACGTTTGGCAGCACAGGTTTCATGCTCAACTTTGTCACTGAGAGCTAGACAGGACTTTAAAAAGCACACAGCCCACTGGGACTTGCTCTGCTGTAGTACTTCAGTGCTTTTGAGAGCCCCCACCCCAGCAGTGTTGCTCTCTGAGAAGTGCAAGTGTCCCAGCCTGGCTCTGGGCAGCGGGAGGCCGGTGACATTCCGCAGTGGAAGCAGTAGTTAAGCACCAGTTACTGGCCCCTGCAGAGGCTCAAGAGACCAGAATTGCTTCGCAGAGAGCTGGTCGGCCTAAAAAGCTTAGTCAGTTGGATCAATAAGTATTGACTTAGGGTTAGGATTAGAAATAAGACACTGCACCTTGGAACTGGAAGACAGAGTCAACTTCCTCCCTTTTCTGTCCAAAAGGAGACTGGCTCCAAAATGTTTGTCCTTAAGGACCTTTGTGATGCCTGACACGTAACTCACTAAGCGCGTGTGCATGTACCTGTCCCTTTGGCAGGGAACACTGAATGTATGACTGGACAAAGCTTTGAGGCTTTTTTCTGTGATTTTTTTTGTTTTAACCATCTGCTCTGTGTCATGTTGTCCCTGAAGGCGTGTTTACCCACTCCTAAATTATGCAGCATTGCCCAGAGAATGGCTCTGTAGTTGAACATGCTCTCTGCAGTACAGCCTCCCTTTTCCTCCAGTGGATGTGGATTTCCATGCCATAGATGTTATTAGAAAACTACACTTGTCTTTATCCTGTTATTTTTGAGCAGGGAAGCAGTGATATGAATTTGAAAACACAGGAAATAATCTGTACAGCAAATCAGAATTTTCATAATTAAATTCATATGATCACTAACTCTTCAAAAGCTGTACTGCTCTGAATGCTGTTCTCCAGCCCACCATTACTCTCCTTTGAGCAGTATCACTTTCCATCTGCTCAGAAACAGTTCTTTGTGGAAATAATGAAAGAAGAATAAATACTGCCTCTCCTACACTGACTCTGTGAGTTTACAGGACGCCCTTACAGAACTCCCTCAGTTCTGTTGGGAGTGCAGCAATACACACATTTTGGTATGCATAGATCAGTAAATTGTAGCAGTGCCAGCAGTAAAACAAAACTCGCCAAGATGTCCTGTTCCTCTTAATTAAGCTTGATTTATATGTGCCTGTTGACTTAAGATGTGGTTAGTGTCCACTGCTGGGATGATGCAGTACCCTGAGTAACTTTGTATTGATTATGCTTACACAAGCTTGTGCTTTTCCAAGAACACAGAAATGGAGCACAAAGAAAATAAAGAAGTATATCAGGTTGTTTCCATGGAACACTGTTAATCTATTCATAGCAGCTTTGAAGTATGAAGTTAAAACTTACCTTCTGCTCTACTCCCTTCGAAACAGATGAGTGCTATGATTAACTCCCCTTTAGCTTAAAAAATAGAAGTGGATAGAATGTCAAAATACGTTTTGCTGGTAAGATGAACCTACTTTGTCATAACTAGTTACACCAATATTGGTGACCTGGTACATTACAACAGGTAGTTGTGGGAGCAGTGCCTGCTCTCCCTTGTTGCCTTGCTCCTTTTTGTAAAAGCAGCTTGTCTAGAATACTCTGGGCACTCTAGAAATAACTAACTAGTATTCCTTTAGGGGGAAATTACTATTATTCCTTTCCCTCCCAAAATTCAGTTGCATGCTCTATACACTGCCTGCAGCTGCCTCCTTATTTTGGGTAGGGTTGCATCAGGAAAAAGAATTTGATGATTGGATTTCTCGTGTTCCTCCTCTGGAAAACCTGCAATCCTGGACTCATTTCTGAACAGAAAAAAAAATTAATCTCCTGTAGCAACATCACTATCAGCTTTTAGCTGTATGGATAGCTTAAACCTCTTATTTCTTACTAACTATTGAAAAAGCAATACCGTCTGCCCCTGCTTTTAGAACACTAAAGCTGCTGGTTTTCCACAGCAGACATAAACCACAGACTCTCTTAATGGACTTGGAAAAGGCAGTGCAACTTTCCCTCCAGCTTCCTACCTATGATGCTCTACCTGAGACTGGAGAAAGACGTTCTACTTCCGTGTTTCTCTCTCTCTCCGCAGTCCGTTCTGCCAGGACCAGAAGTGTTCAGAAATGGTGTGTTCGAGCAGGAGCTGCACCACACCTCCTGAACTGCAGGGCAGCATAAGGCAGCTGGAGCTTCTACATCCAGGTAAGAGGCAGGAATGAGGCTGAAGTTTAATCAGTTAAAAATGAATTGCGACTCTTACTCATTCCAGCTCCCCTGTACTAATGAGTGAAGGATAGCCAGTTACATTCAATTAATGCCTTTTAAAATTAAGTGTTATTTGTTCTAGTAGAGATAACAGTCCAGAGGTTTTCACAAACATGCACTTCAGGCTGGTGAGAAAACATTTTGATGTTGTTTACTTACATAGCATAGAAGAGACTGTAGCTTTAATTATCTTATTGCCCCAAACCTTTGAAGTTAGAAATCAGATAAATTCAGTCTCTGTGGTTAAAATTTTTATATGCTCTTACATTCTTACAACTCTAATTTATCGGTAGATTATTAATTGAACATGGAAGAGTACTCTCCCCCTGAGAAGGCTTCAGTCTGTGCAAGAGTTTCTATAGACTAGGCTTGATGGGTTCTTTTCAAGTATTACTACTAAACTACCTGTGGTATAGTATATATGACCTTGAATTGTACAGAGTTAAGGCACCAAATACAAGATAAAACAACATCTAAATTCAGAGATCTGCTTTAGAACTGCACATCCCCACACACCACTTTTGGACATTCAGCTCCTCTTAAAAATCAAGGTAAAACACGTGGTCTGAATGTTTCATGCAGTCACAGGAATTGGAGAAAACCCCCACTTTATTTAAATCTTACAGTGTGATGACCTTTTCTCTTACCTAACTCCTACTGCTCACAGTGGAGCACTGCCTTGCCTGCACAGCATCAGACAGGCCTGGCAGAAAGAGCACCCTTTCTCCTAAGAGACCCTGGAGAGAGGAACAGGCAGATGTGTCCTACTTGTGCTTTTATGTTACCTCACACGGCACTTACAAACCAACAAGTGAATCAGTCCCATTATTGTGAGCAGGATGGGAAGAAGGAAGATGTGTCAGGAGCTGTAGGATACCTGGACATAAATAAGTGTGGATTTAGATGACACAAATAAAGCTAAGGAGACATAACTCTGGAGTTAAGTAATGAAACAGCTTCATGGTAACAATTCTTTTAATGCCAAATACTTCACTGCTGGCTTATGTGGTTTGTGTTGCAAAGAAAGGGCAGGGGAACCTGCTGCCATGGTCCATAGGGCCAGGACTTCTGTGCCCAGTTTCTCCCATGAATTGCTCTACAATGACTTGAGCAGAATTTCCTCTGAGAGTGGAATGAACCCAATGAGCCCTTAGACAAGCTGTCTCCTGTTGTACAGACAGCAGATTCAACTACACTGTCCCTTTGCTTTGCTTTAAACAAGTCAATAAAGTGTCTCATTTTTCACTGGATTATTCAGCAGGAAGCCCAAGAGGGTCTGTGTGCTGAACACTGGAGCCGAGTTACTGTTTTTTGAGACAGAGCAGTCCTTCCTAACAGAGCTCCTCAGTGAGCCCAGCACAGAGCTCATTTTCATTCTTTTGATGCCAGAGAGGGGAGGTCTTAGGCAGCTTCACGACTGAGAACAACAGTCTGAACTTCATGTTTACACATCCCATCATGAATCCAAAGGAATCTGCAGCCGCAGAGTTCTTGTGCTGTTTCCCAGAGCCACCGGAAATAGGAGCTGTTTTTGTAAGCTGCTTCTGTGACTTGGAACTCAGGGAAGCTGGGACATAGTTTTCCCTTGATTAAGTAACAGGCAGCTGTCTACTGAGAATTTAGCTAAAGGCGAGAAGTTCTAATACCGAGTGAGCATATCTTGGCACACCAAGCACAAGAGGAGAGGGAAACCTGCCATTTTGTCTGAGTAAAGACTGAAGTACTGTCTTGTCTGCCTGCTCTTCATCTGTACAGATCTGGAGAGATGTTCAGGAATCCCACCTCTAGACTGGCTCTCAGAAGTGCAGATGCAGAATTACAAATGAAGCAAGGGACACTTCATTTCAGGGAATTGGTGACTGAAAAGACAGGGACTGCCAGGCTCACTCTCCTGGGGCATTGCTGGGACTGGATCAGGGATGGCACGTTAAAGCTGCTCACATTTATTGCTGTTGTGGAGATTAAGAAATGACAAGAGTTTGATGTTCCATAGCTGAACAGCCAACAAATAGGAGATTTTTTTCCCTAGACTAGCTGAAAAATCTCTGTGCACCTCCTCCTGCATTTTCTACTTCCTAATAATCTGAGGAACTTGTTGTCAGGGAAATTATTCTCAGTAGCTCAACGAAAGCAAAAAGCCTCAATTTTAGATTTGTGCACTTTTTCCCAATTAAGTTCTTTCAGGGGCTTGAGGGCACAGTCTTCCATTGAGTATGACACACTTTAAATCTTTTTTTCCTACTAGAAGGCAAGTGTTCTCAAAGAAAGAATCCTTGTCTCCAGAGATCAGAGATCCTGGACTAGTTTTCAGATCTTTGTAAATGAGTAGAAATAGTCCCCTGGCACATGAATAAGTTGAAATATTTGTAGCAAAACTAGTTTCTTTGAAGTGCTTCATAGTCTGGTTAAAAGTTTTTAAGAATCTAGACACTCCTGTGTAACAGTTGCATCATTTGAGAGAATCAGCTATTTACTGGGATACCAGAAGGTGATCAGGAAGGGCAGGGCAGGAGGACAGAGTACAGAAGCAAAGGTATTTAACAGCAGAGAAAGTTGTGGCAGCAGCATTTACAGCACATTAAATGGGAGCCATGACAATTGCTGAATCATCTAATTAGCTCACACTGGCTACATGACAGCAAATTAGACAGATTAGGAACCACCTACCCAGGCACTAAATTGCCTTTGTGAGGGTTGGATTGGGCACTGTGTCCAACAGAAATTGCTTGGGCAACCGAGGCCGCGTGTTCCACATTCCCTTCATGAGCATGGGCTGGCCTCCCTCCATCCACCTGGCACCACGCCCAGGAATAAGGTCACCATGTTCCAAGTCCTGAATGTGTGCTTAGGGAAGACAGCAAGCACTGGCAGAGGGAGGCCACGATGGCAGGAAGCATCACAGCCCATGCTTTGAGCCAGCCAAGCCCTCCAAACCAGTCTGGTTACTCTAAAACCTCCTCTAGTTAGAACGTGGCTGGAGGAATCTCCTGTGGCTGGCAAAGTAGGACTGAAGCAGACCCCCAAAGCTCACAGATGTTACTCCAAAGTCAATAGCAGTGCCATTCACCTCCAGTACAGATAACAGATCAAACAGGTCAGTTCCTTATTGTAAATCTACGGCTTCTTTTAATCCTTTAAGTGCCAGACACCATCTCCCAAAATACACACGATCATCTGGTTAGCTAAAACTAGCGTTGAGGTGGGTAGTGTACAGGCACAGACTTTCCCTGGTCTCCTATTTATAGATGTACTAATTGAAAGGAACTTCTTCAGAATTCTTTTCCATGAACCAGAAATTCAAACTGTGAAATAACATTTGTGCTTCCCTGGGAAGGTGCTGCGGAATGGGCAGCGATCCTGGCAGCCACACAGAGCACATGGACCTGGGGGCACGTGTTTGGCTGCTGGGCACACACAGAAATACAAAGGAGCCCCAGTGCAGACCTCCAACCTCACAGCAGAGGCACTTCAAACCACACTGCTGTGAGGAGGCTTTTCAGAGGAAACCCACAAGCATTGTGCAAAAAAGAGTTTCTAGGTCTGCCTTGGCAAAACATGCTTGTTGCAACACTGATGAAGCAGATGTTACCCAAATTACTCATCAGATAATAGCCTGATACTTCAGTTAGGTTAAAACCTACTGATAGAATTTGGCTGCTCTCTCAAATGCCAGAGCATCAGGAGGCACTTACAAGCCTACTCTGTGACCCTTCAATACATGGGGCTGTTTTGCTCAGTGAGAGGGGTTCCCAGGCAATCCTGCACTCTTGGGTCCAAGTGGCTGCAGAACCCAGGATTCAGGAGTCTTAAGTACCCTGTTTCACATGTCAGGAAAAGGTTCTCTCTGACTGTGAAGGGAGGCAGCACAGGCAAGGGGACATTTCAGACATAAGTACTGCATTACAAACAACAGTGTTCTAGAGAAATTTAGAGAAAAAAGATCTAACAAAGAATTAAAAAAAACCAGCAGGAGAGTGGAATACTTAGGATTGCAAGAGTTAAAAGGATGATGGCAGAAAAACAGGGAAATTCAGTCAGAGCAATTCTGATGGAAAGAAACACAGATGGATTAAGCTGCCAAGCACAGTCCATGAAGAAGCAGATCAAATGAGAGTCGGCAAGATGTTTATTATCAGTCCTTGAACTGGACAGTGCTTGTCAGGCTGACAGCAGTTAGGAAAGGAATACTCAGGAGAAGTTCATTATAATGCACCTTAATGCATCTAAACTCCTGTCTGAAGGAGGCCCAGCAGCTGCTGCTCTGGGATCAGCTGCTGCTCTGGGATCAGCACTGCCGGGCCGGGCGGGATGAAAAATGAGCCCAGTTTTAAGGGAGTGTCAGACCCAGCCTCGAGTTTGTACCTGGAAGATAACAGATGGAAACCTGCACCCCAGAGCGGGAAGGACGTTCTGATGGCTCAGCAGCTGTCCTGCAAGTGTCATGAAGGGGTTTGTGCTGCCAGGGCCAGCCCCTGCAACAGCTCCCCAAGTTCAGTTCCCCAGGTGCCACCTGCGAGCTCAGGTTCCTGCCCACAGGAGCAGCAGCTCTTTATCAGCCTGTGAATTCTGTGCACATGTCCTGAGCTATGGATAACCTACACACACAGTCATTTAGTGAATCTGATGGCTCAGTATTAAAATCAAACACAGTTTCTATTTGCTCTTGAATTTTGATGCAGATAGTCTGTACCAAGTCTGCTTGATACTGTTATAAACTGTGATCAGTCACAGGGTTTTTTATGTTTTAATCACTGAATTGAGACCCTAAAATGCTGCTACATCGTCATCAACTTGCTCCCTTTTGCTTTTTTATTTTTTAAGCATTTTTATATAAAAAGAGTTGTTTCCAGCAACTTCAAGTTCTGCAAGTACTGCACTTCTGCAGTTCTGTACTATGCAACTTTGCATAACGCAAGGTTTAAAAGGCAAATAAAAAAAATAGTATTTTAAAACTACACATATCATGTGCACCAATGGGTCATAATCCAAACCCATTTTAATCCAAGTAAAATGTGTTAAAACATTTACTACAGAACTGAAAACAATTATTTATGGATGGCTGTATCCTGATTTCCAGCTGTAGAAAACCACAGCTAAGCAAATGATTCACGCAGAGATAAATCCCTGCCTGCCTGCCCTCCTCCCCTCCTCTGCACCCGCGGGAGGGAAGCAAACTTGGCTGCTTCCTGAATTAATTTGGCCTAATGTAATTTGATCTCTGCAGATTTTAACTGTAATATCATCAAAGTCCTTCCTTCTTAATTTGGAGTTTAGCTTGAATAGTTTAGGGAAATAATTTCTCTCGTTACCAGTTCGTTAGTGTCACCCATCCCACATCCCCAGAACCAAGGTGTGGCCTTCAGAGCCTGGCTTTGGTACCTACCCAGAGGTATCCCCAGGGATGCAGAGAATGCAGTGCCTGACAGAGCAGTATCAATACAGCTTTCTATGCTACACAAGAGAAAAATATTTGGAGGAGAACAGTCTGTTGATAAATCCAAACAATTTCTTAAAAGTGTTAGGTAATATTTTCTTTCTTAACTGGGGGTATTGGAATTGGGCTTGAGAAATACAAAGTTGGGATTCAGACCTATGTATTACCTCTTTAAACACCAAGTTAAACAAGACATAATAAAAACGCGCCATATACAAGATTGTCACAGATATATGAGATTCTTAGAAAAAAAGCAATAAAAATATTCTTTAAGCTGAAAATAAAATCTCTTACCTTTTATATCAGGATCTCAGCTTACAGTCACTACATTTCTGCTTATTTTATACAAGTGCATATGGCTATGAAGGTCCGGAGAGAATGAGAATAAAGTGGAATTAACCTGCTGAAAACTGCTTAGAAGTCTTAAGCTGCAACATATAGATGTTCCAATACCATTTAAAAAAACATTCACCTTTCAATTATTGCTGATTGACAATCTCAAAGTATCAACATACAAATATTCAAGAGGAAAAAAACCTCAGTAAATTTAGAGCAGCAAAGTTTTTTGAACCGGATGTTTCCCAAATACTGTGTTTTCCTATCATTTGGTGATGGTTTTTAAGAGACACAAAAGCAATCCACTTGACTTTCCAGTTTAGGCCTACCCTTTTTGTGCCTCATATCAATGATGTGGGGAAGAGAGAGAGAGAAGATATCATTTAGTTACATTTTGGAAAAAAATATATATTCTGTTTTTTTTTCTTCTGCCTTTTTGCTACATTTCATGTCTGCTGACATGCACAATGGTACAAAGCACTGCTGCTTCAGGAGGGACCATTGCACGGCTCTGTAGCAACTTGGATAGGAGACATGCAAATACAGCAGAGTATTAAAATCCGGAGGGACTTCAGGAGTGGAAGCCCAGGCAGATGTCACTGCTTGAAGCAGCACTCGGCCCGGATTGTGCCTTGGTTTGGTGGTTGGTTCCCCCCCCCCGACACACCAGTCTTTCCCTTTCAGTGTAAAGAAATAACCAGAAGTATATACACATCTATTGCTATGTACCCAAAGAGAGGACTGTGGCTTGGACTAAGTATTGCTTTTTGTTACATGGAGCAAAGTTCAAGAAGTGAGAAAAACACTTTAAAAAAAAAAAAAAAGAAAAAAAGGAAAAAAGCTCAGATTCCATGTCTGAAGTTGAGAAACCTCAAAACGAGCCACGTTTTTTCTTGCTTTTAAGACATGTACAAAATGCCATTTGGAGCCACACAACCTGATGGTTCTAGAAGTCAGAGAAGAAATCTTGAGGGCCCAAGTGAATAATAAAAGGTGCGATGCTGAGAGGCTGGCAATAGGGACTGTCAATGAAAAAACCACCTACAGTGGGAGAAGAGCAGAGAAGCAAAAACCTCACGTTAATTGCTGAGACTGGCTGAGGCTAAAGCTCCATTTAAATTTCTCTGCTCTTTCAGCTGCAAGTGGAATTTTCATTGTAAAATGGGCACTTTGAATTCTTTGAAGGTATTGAAACATCTAACACTTCCAAGGTTACCACTTTCTAAACAAAGAACTGACAGCTCATTCATATTTTCAGTAAAGCAGAGAAATGTAAAATATGCAGCAAGGGGGCAAGTTTACAATGTGGTTAGTAACTCCCAACAAATGACAAAAAGTAAAAAATGACTTCTATAAATCGTCTGAAATGACTGCCATCATGTTGGAAAAGAGCATAGCGCCCTTCTTGTCTTTGAAATAAGAACAAGTTTTTGGCTTACGAATGTTCATGGTATAGAATTGGTTCGCAGAATATTTTGTTTGAAATTTTACAAAGCTGGGGATTCAGGAAAAAAAAAAAAAAGAAACTACAAACAGTTGCCAATTAGGGGAACTCCAAAAGGAGGGGAGGGGGGGAAGTGTGTGGAGGAAAGATTCCTTTAATGAATATTTGATTAACAAAAATGGGCTCTGATCAGCCATGCTTTTTCTGCTCCGTGATGGCTTCCTTTCATCCATAGGCCAGCAAACCAGATCAGTGATTTCTGAGCACCTCAATTTGGGTCCATCCCAGGCCCTGCTCTGCTCCCGCTGCCGCGGGGGACACGCCAGGCTCACCCCTCCTGGCCAGGAATCTACGTCTTATTAAAGTACCACCAGCACCAAGGGCAGGAGAGCTCCGGCAGAAGGAAACCCAGTGAAATGGAAACACATTCCTAAGCACAAATACTTAGCTTAAGAATAACAGCTGCAGTTAATTCCAAGGAAAGCAGCTTGTTCTGTAAGCCACCCCTTATTCAGCTTTTCTAATATTTCTTTCCCTCTAAAGGGGGTGTGGGGGAGGAGGAACTTTACGTTGCTTTAAGCACTGGTTTTACACCCTTGTCACATACAAAGCTCCCCCTGCCTCAGCAGCAGAGTCTGTTAGAGAACAGGGGATAAAGGCAAATCTTTGGAAGAGCAGGAACTAAAGCCAGCCTATGGAAAAGCAACGGGTGAGGGCTGAGGAGAGAGTGCAACCAACAACGCTGCTGATTCGTGGGGTGATACCTTAATAAAGACCACTGGAATCCCTCGTCAGAGCCCACAGCAGTCCACAGTCCATGGAGACTCCAACCGTGGAGCTGGGGCCTGTCCTGGAATTTCAGACAGGTGCACACACTCCTCATGGAAAAGAGGATTCTTTGGGTTTGAGCACCGACTCTTAGAAAGTACTGGCCTATGGCTGAAGTGTGTCACTTTTCACAGCAGCACTCAACAAGAACTGGGACAATTAAATAGCAAGTTTTCATGGGGACCTTGTTGCTGCTTTAGATTCTTATAAATGTAAGGGGGAAAAGGAGAACCTTTGGTTTAATACACAATTGACAACTAAAATGCTTTCTGTAGAAATGGTGGATGGAAAATCAAGGGTGGGCAGACAATCTCAAAAGTGAAGAAGGCCACAAGAACAAATGCAATTTTTTTTCTTTTTTTTCCTCTTTTTTTTTGGTAAAAACGGAAAAGAAAGGAAAAGAAGCAGCTTTTGAGCTCTGAAGAACCTGATTGTAACATTAGTGTGTCCTTTCTCTGGGCAATACGGGTGTAACGTGTGTCCCTGGAACTGCATAACAAATCCTTCTGTGGGAACTTCCTCTGTTTAATACTTGTTTCACAGAATGCAGCCTTGTACAGAGACAGCCTAAGATTAATTCCCTTTGTTCTGTTTGTTTTTCAGCATTTTGTGTACGAGTGAAAAGTCTCCTTGGATAATTAAGACTGTGTCTAAAGTCACAGTTACAGTATGCTGATCTATAAGGAAACTCAGGTACTGATGCTTAACTATAAAAAATAAGATAAAACAATATTTTAACCCAGATTTTACTAAGTTTATTACACACCATAATATTTACAAAGTTAAATGTTAACTGTAAAGTTTCTATCATGTGGGTTTGTTTTTTTTTTTAATTTTTATTTTTGTTTTTTAAAGAACTATGCCCTGCATTTAATAACCCTACAGCAAGTACAGGTCATTAACTGAGTCTGTGTGACTGCATTAGGAAACAGGCAGTACTCTTGTGTTACAACAAAACAGTTTATTTGTGATCAGTGTTTTATATTCTATACATCCTTCACAAATTTAATTTTACATAATCGGATACTTCATTTAAAACGTAAGATTTAAGCTTCTAGTTCTTCCCTATAACAGAAGGCTGGTATAAGTTATTTGAAAATGAGGTAACATTTCACAGAACATTTTTTTCAAGTTTTAGAGAACTAAATTTGCATTTTGTTAAAATCAAAAAGTAGGAAAAAGATGTTTCTTTACAAATGACTTTGCTCAAGTATGTGTTCAAAGAAAACAGGATAAAAAGGCTTTTTTCTCTTCTAACATTCTGTACTGTACTGTGTTGTTCAATCAATAGGAATTAGCTTCTGCCATTTGCTAAAAGAATGAGTAGTGGGGAACGGGGTAAGTTGGGAATTTCATAACTGGTAACAGAACCATTCTCTTGGGTAAACCTACAGAGAGAAGAAAGGGAGAGGACTCCAAATAAGTTCAGCAATCCAAGAAAGTCAGATAAGAGCTTACAGTAGTGTTCTCATTAACCTTTTCCAGATCAGTCAGTCAATGGGATTCCAGGGTGCAGAGTCCCGTGAACAGTAACACTTCACCACTTTGCACTATTTCAGACAGATGGTTGGCTTAAAGTCTGCTTTTATTTTTGTCCTGGTGTTTGGTAAAATTAAAGGAAGTGATATTCTCAAAAGCAGAGTGTGTATTTGGACTTGAAGCTCTACTTCATGGTCTTTATGGTAATTAATCTCTACTAGCTCGTTCTGAGTTCATTTCACAGGCCAGTTGCAACTGCACATATTCTAGACAGGCACTGCTGTGCATAAAATACAACTCACAGGGAAACTGTTCAGCAGTTTTGATCAGCATCCAGATAGGTCAGCCAAAAATCAAGCACCTACAGTAAATTCTGCATCTGCTTCCTTATTCTGCATTCCCTCTCCTGTATTGAAGTGGCAAATCTGGAAAGATTAACATCTGCCTGATTTCATGATTATTTTAGAGTTCTTGTGGCCTCACAAACTTCTGCACAATTAAACGTTTGTTTGGTGTTTTAATCTTGCCTATTTAAATTCTAGTATTTAACCTATGTATCCATTTAGAAATCACAAAGCAGCAACAGCAGGTATTCCAGAGCACCAGATGATCAAAGTGAAGTTTCCCAACATGCAACAGCTTACAAAGGCAAAGAGACATGTTTACCTTACAGCCAAAAAGCATTATCCCAGAACTTCGCATCACAATCATAAGACATTAAGAACAGAAACTCTTTATGTGAAAAATGGGGGCATCCAATTCCACAACGCTTTGAAGTCAGTGGTATGTCACATATACACAGCTAAGTGCTTAAAATCCAGCTCCCAAAATAGGCAAAAAGAGGAAAAATCCCACAAAACAGAAGGAATGAATGAAAAAAAGCAAGAAAAGCTGCAAGGAAATTTGGTAACAGTTGCATTCCTGTCTGCAGCAGGGAAAGGATTCCACATGTCACAGTGTGTCACTGCTTGTAAAAATACAGACATGCAGATGCCACTCATCCTGGTTATCCTCTGAGACTGTTGCTTGGAAAGAACCAAGGGGATTTTTTAAAAATCCGTACCCTAAACTAAATTTCCTTTCATTTTTCCCTGAGGAAACATGTAGCTGTTCCTTGTGTGATGCACCACAAAGGACAACACTCCATGGGACAGCCCTGCTGCCAGCTGCCCTTCTGTCAGAGCACGTGGCCAGTCAGCAGGTCTAAAACTGGAGAGGTTTGCTCCAGTTTTGAGAGGAGAATTCCACACTGAGTGCAGCCCGTGGGCCCATCCTCCATCCCCTTTCAGTACAGAATTGGACCAGCTGGTCCCAGTCAGGCAAAACAAACACTTTCCATAAAGCAGCAGCATTCTTCCCTTCTTAGAGCTTGTACTGCTGTAAAAGTCATGAAATCAACATTTCAAAATATTCTGAACTTTTATAATAGTATCAGGGGAGTTGGCATTGCCCAAGTGACACAGATTTGGGAGGAATAAGCACTGCAAATGCTAAAAAGCCAAAGTTTCCCATAGGAAAAAGTGCAGGCCTTGAAAAGTGCTGGCCATTTGAGCAGCAGGCTGTGAGCAGTCCCTGCCATGGGACAGGCTGCTGGGACTGGTGCTGGGGGGCTCAGTTGTGTGTGCCAGGACATATCACTGACTCCAAACTGCTCTGCTCCCATTGCCACATAAACCTCATTCAAAGTAACCAAAAGGGCCGGTTAGAGGAATGCATTGTTAGTCCAGCGTCAAACAAGCCAGTGGGGAGGGAGAAGCCAAGTTAAGAAAAACCCTTCCATCACAGCTCTCTGGTCATCAGCTCATTTTACAATCTCCATGAAACCAGTGCTTTGCCAGCCTAATATCACACGTTTCATAGTAAAAAGCATTGTGGCAAATGACCATGTCCTGGCTGCCTTCAGTCTGATCACTAACAGTCCAAGCAACCCAAACCCATCCTGTTGTCCCAAGCAGTGGTGGTTTAGCCTGTGGGAGTGTATTTGCCCATAGCCTTCACAGAGTTGACAGCATTAAGGGAGATTTGTCCACAAGCCACTTACACTTGGGGACAAACATTTCACCAATGTTACTGTAATGCCACTTAGCTAAATGTGGGTCAGAGATGCTGAAATAGGCCCTTCGGTAGTCTTTGAATGGAGCACGGGTTGGCTGTAAAAAGTAAGGGAACTACTTCCACTGGGTTCCAGTATAAAGGGAACAGGCAATTAGAACAAGCAGTCCTTCCACAGACCAGGCAAAGCAGAGGCAAAAAGCTACTCCAACCAAAAAAGAACCACAAGGTTATGGCATAAGAGTGTTTTGTCATGGTTTAAGAGCTTTAATCTCTCTGAGTTTCTCCTGGCCCTGGCACCCGTGGACGGCCCCCCCGTCGTGCCCGGGGTGTTACTGACAGTGTGTACCTACCGTAGGCTGGCGCCGCTGTGCTGTACCCATACGGTGCTCCATAGCCTGCAGGGAAACACAGACAGGGGTCAGGCACACCTGCACTGACCCTGCAGGGCACTGCAGCAAAGACACACCAACACCTGGAAGTGCTGCGGAAAGCACCAACATCCTGTGCAGTGGCCTGAAGAACAAGCTACCCAGGGACTGCCTCAAGCCTCAGCATCAGAGTTAAATTCCCTATTTCCTTTCCTCAGCATTTTCTTTTCAGCTGAATCCCTCAAGTCTGCACTGTCAGAGCACAGAGTTGGCATGACCCAGACGTCCCGTATTTGCTTATGTGCTTCCTAAAACACAAGTGCAGTCTATGCAGAGAACAGTCATTTTCCTAAATTTTCATTATAAAGAGGGGAGTGCTGGATGCCTGTGACAAATGCCACATCCCCATTGGTAAAGCTCCTGTGAATTTTGCTTTCTCTGCCATTTCACGCAGACAAAGTTCCACAGGGGACACCTGAACACCTCCACATAAACAGAGCAGGATCATTTTCCCCCAGAGAGCTAAGTGTGACTCTGGAGCGAGACAAAAAGCAACAGAGATAACACCAACATTGGTCACTACATCTCAGTGGTTCATGGAGGCTCTACAGGGGTTTTTTCTGTTGAGATTGCTTGTGTCATCACAAAAAGCAAGAGATTTCTGACAAGAATAGAGGATGGAGAGAAATAATCTGTGAAGGCCAAGGCCAATAAAAGCTTAACTGCAGCAACTGGGAAATTAAACTTATTTCTGGAGTAATTCCACACTGGCAAGAAGCATGCCCCTGGCAGGTTAAAGTGTCTCATAAATGACTCCTCAGGCAGACAGACAGTTCCAAAAACAATGTTAACAGCCATTAAAAATGAATTACTGGTTTTTAATATTTAAAATGACATGACCATACAGGAACAATGAAGACGGCAGGCTGCTGACTGTGCCAGGAAGGAAGGCTCCCAAACAACAGGGCTGTGCTGTTGGCACACTGAGCTGCTGGAGGGTGTAATTAGTGCTCATGCTGTAATCTGAAAACCTGAGCATGAGTAATGTAAGTGTTATTTTCTGGAAGCTACTGGATTTGCTTTGACTAAGGCATCTTCAGCATCTCATTCTTACAAATCTGTGGTTCTTAAAACAAGTGAAAACAGTGTCTGGATTCTCCTCCCTGTCATCTGCAAACCTTAGGCATGTTGTGGAGTCACAGAGAAAATGCACTTTGAAAAGGGGAAGGAGAAAGTGTCTGTTTTGTTAACTTTTTCTTGGTTAAATGTGAAATGGGAACGAGAAGCCTTTGGACTTCCAAAGCAGTTTCTGCTATCAGAACAATGCACGACTCCACATCAGCCAGAGTATGAACAGAAATTCCTTTATTTTTGGCCACCACAGAAGCTACTGATAGATGCTTCCAGGTGCAGTTCATTTAGAAAGTTTCTGGGAGCTCAGGGACTCTGGAGCCTCCCGACTTCATGTCCACAAGGGTTTCTTGGGAAGGCCACTCCTAATGCTAAACAGCACATGATCCAGGAGGTTCTTAGGTAGGAAGAGAGTTTTGGGAATTGTGTCATGGTAGTGAACTATGAAGAAGACAAATCATAAAATAATAAAGCTGGGAAAGCCATTATGCCCATAACTGTGCTCTGTGCACACCAAGCTTCAAGTTGTACACTCATTTTAAAGGACACGCACTGCCAGCTTTCCATCTCTTTGATTTATTTAGAGCCCCATGAATTCTGCCTTCTGCTTCATCTCAGATGATTAAAGAAATCACTTACACAGGTGACTGACACACATGA